TATCACGTCTATTATTAGTTTAAATAAAAGTGATTACTGAATATTTAAGCTATTGTAATAGTTTAATGAGAACCAACTGTGGTATTTGAATTGGGTGAAATTGGTAACTGTTAGGTAGTACACGAAGTGAAACAAAAATGTAAAAGAAGTTTTTAAAAATGATTTAAACCGTTTAGGTGGTAATATAGTAGTTGACCCTTCTTCTTTCCATAATTTCTAATTTCTTGTCACCATCATTACGTCATGCACCCCAACTTGTATGGGTTGTAACTTGTAATTAATTTTTAATAATAAAAAATATATCTCTTAAGAGTTAAGACTAATTTTGGTTTAGATTTTAAAACTAATGATGAGTTATCTAATCTAATGATTGTYTTTAAATTTTAAAATTCATGTGTAGCCAAGTAGCTTAAAAGTAAGTACCTATACCTAATAAAGGACTACAGAACTAAAAAAAATTGATTTTTGTTATTGTGTGAATAAAAGAATAATTTTGATGGTCGTAAAAGTGTTGTCGGACAATTGGTTCTGCGTTTAAATCATAACGTGCATAGACTTTGTTTGCAGAGTATATGGCTGATTAAATAATATGTCCCTYTCCCATAGATACAAAGTATAAATGATCTTAAAATTAATGTGCATGATATTTCATCTTAAGCTTATGGTTACTAATTTTTATTAGAATAAAATTTTGTTTCTCATTTTTTTTATAAACATATTTATTGAAATGAAAGTTTACATTATACATAATTGTTATAATTCAAGCCTTGGTATAAGGAGTTTAAATTCTTCAATCACATCTTCTGTGTCAAACTGTCAATTACAATATAAATTTGTTGTTCTATGACTATCAACATTAATTCATCTAGGCACTTTTGGGTTATCACTGCAACTTGATTGAAAACGCACGGTAAAGATAATTGTATTAGTGTTCACTGGTCAGTCGTAATCATCGTAATTTGTAGGAAAATATAAATAGTAAATGCATATACTGAAAATAAAATCCATATTTCCTTATTCCTTAAATTATTGAGAACCGTCCACAATGAATTTAAAAATAAGTCCATATTCCATATTGATATCGTATTATCATCATTTTGTAACCACTAACTAACCAGTCAAAATTATGAACTAAGACATTGTTCATGTATGTAATCATGTGCCTCCAAGCGTCTGCCCGCAGGGTATGCAAGCGCGAACCCTGCATACCCCGTGCGCATGCTTATGGTTTAAATATATAAGACACATCTTACAATTATTGACAGTCATAAAATCACACCACCTGACGGGCTGTATATAAAAAATAACTATAGAGACAAATTGATTTAAGGTACAATAGTAATTAAAGTTAATTTGTAAAATATTATACAATTTGTTTTTAGATTCTCATATTATTTTTAAGTATTTAAATTTGTTTTAGGGTTGTTTATAGGAAAAACAACAGTAAAAATATATTGGTAAAATAATATAAGTAATATAAATAATATTATACTCCGTTATTCAAATAAATGTTTTATTATCATTTATAATGTAATAATACAAATAAATGTGTAAAAAAAACCTCGCAATGGTATTACATTATTTTAGAAYAAATTTTAAAATAACTGGAAAGGTGATATTATGTCAAAAATAATCAAAGAAGCTAAAATAAAATTTTTCCACAATAACAGTTTGCTGTAGAATGTAACCCCAACTTCCYAAAAAATATTTATCGAACACCTCGCCCTCCTTATGAAGAATTAAAATCGAATCGAAAAGATATTCAAGATTTACCTAAACATATAATATTATCTAATTATAATAATTCGTTATTCAATGGCATATAATATTATATGTATTTTTGAGGTTTTTTTTTAAACATAATTTTAAAATTTTTTTTTTATTTTTAATTTTTTTTTCAAATTCAATAGTATATATACAATTACAAATTTATAATGACACTGAAAAATGTCTTTGGCGTACCCATGATAAATATTCTTGAGGCCGCCGGCAGCTGCATGGCAGTCAACGTGTTTTAACATACAATGTGATGACGAGTTATGTTTAAATTTTTATGGGGACTTGACTAATTTAAATATTTACGAAATGCCATTGTTTATACTCAGTAAATTATGTAATATTATACTTAAGTACAATATTGGATTTTTTTTATCTAATAATTAATATATATTTTTTAAATTAAACAGAAAAAGTAAAACCATTTGAGGGTTAATCGTAATTTTACGTTTGAATTTCCTTTTTTGTCAAACTTGCTATACTTTAAAAATATATAAAAAAAAWTGTGACTTTATTATTGATATTTTTTGATCGCTCAAAATTACCAAAATTAATTGAAAATTTGTGTTTTCTAGAATGCCTGAATGCTAACATAAATATTAGGAAAACATTTAAAGCTCAGGTGATTATAAACCATAACTAAAAAACAAGATTGAATTTTTCAAAAAATTAGTAGGTATAAATATCCTGGTATACATATCCAAAAGCTTGATTTTTATTAAATGCTTCTTGTACTTCTTTATTTGTATTATTATTGAATTAGTTAATTATCTTCTTAACGTGTAAATTCGTGTCAATTTATAATCTACACTTCAACCATCAATCTTGGCATTGCACTTCTGTATTGTGAATTATTTTACAGACCATTTTATTTTATTTGGCATCCTATTCTTTGTTTTATGTAAATTCTGATTTTTTTTATTCACCAAGAATAAAAACTTTGATTTCTCATTAAACACTGCAGGAGGAAAAAAATAACTATTGCAAAAAATGTCTGTTGGTACTTATAAGTACAGTTTATTATAAAAACCGATGCTGTAAATGGTAATTCGTACAATATACTAATTACTAATAATAAATAATAACCTCAGCTTGCTGATGTACASAAGTACATTTTTCTTATCAATAATAATAAAAAGAAAAATACTTACGCATAATCAATTGAATAATTTTTTTAATAATTCTGAACTCTGATTCAGCAATATTTACTATTAACATAAATGTGTGCACAATACATATTGGTTATGAGTGCACATAATATTTTATTATTTATACATTCAATTAGAACGCAAAACCATATCGACGAAAAATAACTGAAATAAGTAGTTTTCCTTGATGGGTATTGTATGCTCAATTTCACGTAAACGTACATTTATTCTATAATAAAGTTACTTAGTAGTTAGTGCTATGAATTTATTTTTCATAAAATATATATGCATGGATCAAAATTATGTTAATCAAATTTATATTTATCAAATTTTTACCACAATGATTAATATTACTGTTTACTCATTAAGTAGACTGGTAGACAGRTAGGTACTTCCTTTTAGATATTATGCTACTTAATACTAATAATTTATAATTTATAATTAATTATTAATGGTATTGAGCTAAATCAAATTCAATTATAATTTGGTATGATACGATTAACACATGAACAATTAATACATTTTCTAAAATACTTATGTGAAATAATTACTAAAATACAAGCATTACATTTATATGGATAAACTGCCATAAACTAAATCGATTTTTAAGCATGTACCTATACTAATTATTTCGTGATAATTAATAAGTGTTTTCTTATTGGTTTTATCTACCATTTGTTTATTACATGATTGTCTTATCTATAATTTGAAATGTATAGTATTATTGTTGACAGCCAGAACGTGTATAATATCATGAGTTATCTGCAAGTGCGTGTTTAAAAAAAAATATTAAAAGAAATTATTAAAATCCTTGCCAATAGTCTATATGAATTCAACATTATACTGCAATTATACATGTGCGATGTKYGTAATATTGAAAAATAGAAAGTGCACACAAGTCGTGATTTTCACACCGTTCGTAACTTCGAAGAATAAGTATATTATATACCTCTAAAAACGTTGAAAATGTAATAGGTACACTAAATCATAATAAATATTTGGGTAAATACTAAAGTATAAAGTGTGTTAGGGTGTAAACTGTAAAATCACTTTAAATCAGAACAAAATAACCAACATAGCTATTATTATTTTTAAAATTTAAATATCCAATTTAGTCAAAATTTAATTATTTAAATTACAAACGAATAACAATTATTTATTGAAATAAAATTGTCCAGGTATAATATGTTTGATATTCTTAAATTACAAGTTTTTTTCGCAAAGGAATAATAGATTAAGTAGGTACCATAAAAATAAAATTATAAAATATTTTATAAAATTAAAAAAGATGATAAAACAGAGTCAAATTACTATACATTATACTATGCATTTCTGAGAAATATATCTATACTTATTCAATAACGACTCGGCACATCTACGAAGTATTATATTTTGTAAAATTTTATAATTATTTAAACTTGCAATAGCGTATGATATGCTGTCATATTTTAATTTATTAAATAATAATAATCATAAAATGTCAATTTAAATATTTGATGATAGTTTAAAGTATCTGTAGTTATTTGTTTTTTAAATATTACAAAATTTATTTTGTCAAAAAAAAAAAAATGATGTTAGAAGTAAATATTTATATTTTTTCCAAATATTAATAAAATTACGTGGAATTGTTTACTTTTAATTCTCGTACAACTGATTCTAATTTACCTTCAAATATTACCCATAACGCTAAAAATTTTGAAACATATTTTATTATTAAGACACACACACAAAAATAAACATCATTGTATAACACTAAAACGATTTAGTATCAGAACCTAAAAAAATCGATATTGAAAAAAATTGACGTGACACTATTAATAAATAATATACTCGTTCAATGAACAAGGTAGAAGCCTTAACTAGTGTACTTAGGATAACTAAATATTTTATGTATTGAATGGGATCTTTTGTTTCTCTTGCTCATATTATCATGCCAGCGTTCATGTTGACCTTGCCCTTCTCCAAGTTGGTGCACAGTATATTATACGATATAATATTATTATTATTATTATTATATTACAATATATACGTATCTACATATAACTGCTAACAAACTGGTTGAAGATTGACTCGCAGAGTGTCTTGGTCGTTCGACAGACTAGGATACGATTTACAAAACTATAATATTTTATATTATTTTAATATACCCGACATGATCTGCTGTAATATCGTTGACGGTTTGAGTGCAACACCGTTCGCATGAAAATAGCTAATATCGATAGAGTATTGCCAGGATACTCGCCAATTTTTATGATTACAACTGTAGATAATAAAAAAAATTGTTAAATTTTATTTTGTGACAATCAGTCACAATAGCTATATTTCATTTAGTGAGACTTTAGTCTATTAATATATACGTACGAATTAAGAAAACTTATCGACATGACGCACTCCATGTTGACGCCGTTCAGTGAATACCTTCAAGTAGAGCAGAGCAAATATCCGGAGCTCACGTTGGACAATATCCAAAAGTTAAAGGAGAGCTTAGAAGATGACGATAATTTGCCGCCAATATCAGGTACCTAACAAGTAATAAATAAAGTGATTTGCCAAGATTGTTCACCTCCCCCCCTAGTTTTTTACTTGACAAAACATTTACTCAAATGTTAATTTTTGGAATTTTTATTAACTTGCAGACAACCAGAGTTTTTTTTTTATGGGGGGGGGGCATCAATATCAAATTATTTAAAAAAAATGTTAGATTGTAGTCAAGAAGAATTACGTTACTCCAATCACATAATAATATATATAGACCAAATTGGTGAGACTATATTTTCAAATACCAACTTGGATTTTTATGTGATTTAAGAATTATAGTGTTCTCTAGTCGAATTAATTTTTTTTTTCAAAGAAGAACCATACCCACTTTTACTATAAATTATCATATTGGTTTTTTCTTATGATAAAAGGGGATGAGCTTGCTTGTTATTTACCGTGTAGATGTTTAGTGAAGCGATTCATAATCTTTTTATATTCACGTACTGCTAACAAATTTTGAAATATTTTCACTCATACCACTTGATTTAATAACTTTTTTTTTGTACTTTTCTGAAAATGACAGTATTTTCCATATACGGAGCATATTTATAATTTATTTTATTAATTTATACAATAAATCAAAAACAAAAATAATTTTTTTACTAAAATATTTTTTTTTGCTAGTAAAAAAATGTTTTTGCCTACCACAGCTCACAGGTTCACTGGTTATAATGTCTACATTCGAATTAGCTCGAGATACTTAAACAATAAATAACTAATAACATAGAACTAATAGATGATTTGGAAACCAGAATTGAATTTAGCAACATATGTAAAAATTGATACAACAAATTATTATGACCGAACAGTTACTTGCTAGTCACGATCTATAATCTATAATTCATTATTTATACTCAATACGAAAAGTTATTTTAAACGGATACATCTCACGAAGTTGTAATGCATAATTAATTGAATTAGTACCAGAATGATGAGTGAAGACAAGTATTAGGTAATGATTAATGACTAATATAAAATATTTATTAAAAATTATCGTGGCATACTTGAATTTAATACACCTATTATAGGTAGGTATTTAATACTAGCTTGGACAAAAATATTTAAAATTTCATAATTTTTTTTGCGTCCTAATTTGAGGGTTTTAGCTTGTCTATTGTTATTTTTATTTATACATTTTTTTTTTTGACAATCCTTCAATTTTTTTCAGTGTACGTCGACTTAAATAGTAATCTGACAATTCTAGTTTTATTTCCAAAAAAATATTTCAGATTATTATTATCAATAGCTCTTGTAGTCTGTCTATWAATAAAAAATACTAGTTACATATTGATAAATTATATTTATGACTATGTTTTATTATTATTTTTTAGAACATATCTTAGAGAAAAATACCACTTTAAATAATAACATGTCATAAATAACTATGAAGATAAACATAAAAATTTTAAATATTATGATAAAATAGTTTTTATAATATTATTATGTTACCCATATATTTTAATATTTTTAGAACATACATCGCAACTTTTAACGTATACGTAATATTATTAAATTTAAGTATTTTTATAACATTTATTACAATAGCGTCGCAAAAAAAAAATGTTTATTTAAATTCAAGGTTGAATTTGTTTAAGAATATTATAAATTCAAAAAAAAAATTAATATAAAAACCGTTAAAAAAAGAATTATTACATTTATAAAATAATAACAATCAGGCTAATAGCCCTTGTTGTCGAAGCCTCAGGTTAAGTTAGGTTAGACTAGGCCTCTTCAAAAAAAAAAAATAATAATAATAACAATTAAATACCATTGATTTAATAAAATCATACCGATTAATTGTTCCTGTTTTAAATTGTTGTATTTTTTCTCATTTTTTCGTTGTCGGTTTATAATTTTTTATCTTTGGAGCAAGTCTGTAAATGAACAGTGTTCAATTTAATGTAAACTTCAGTTTGAATTTCATTTACAACCAGGCCTTTATGATAGATAAATATGATTAAAACGTTTGTTGAAAAAAAAAAGATTCACATATATTGGTTGTTATAATTAATTCTGACTTATAAACTTCCCAAATACTAGGTGCAAATAAAAAAAAATCTTCTGAGATTTCGGTATCGTTCGGTTTGTCGTTTACTGGACAGTCAGATAGTATATAGGTTCTCAGCAAAACATTTCGCTTCTTCTTCTAGATTTAAAAATATCTCGATGGCAAACAATTCTAAACTTTATATATAGATAGTATATACGATATAGGTACCTATAGTTTCCCAAATGTTCTTATGACGATATTATTTTTATAAAATATTAAACAGACCATTTTAAACGTATACTAAATAATTTTAGGTAAGTGTTTTTCAAAATGTATTATAAAAATGTGATATAAAAGTGCTATAAAACTCTTGAGCGAAAAAAAAAGTAGTTTTAAGATATTTGGGTAAAAAGCGACATGGGCGAAAAGCGAAAGATCGTTTTTGGGCAATCAGGGTCTTTCCCTAATTTTTTAAATTTTATATGATAGTTAATTCACCCACATATGTCGGGATCCTAACTCGTATAGTGCATTATAAACTAATGATATTTTAGTATTTACTTCCTGAAAATGAATAAAAAATTATTTTTATAGTTTTGAAATTCGCAAACAGGATATTATAACACTTATATTTAGTACCAATATATTATAGTTAAATAGTTTCATCAAACAAACATTTTTTATCCATAGTCATAAAACGTGATTATGGTTAATTTATTTCGTTTTAGTAAAATTAATAAGATTGATTTAATTGATTTTTTCAGACAAAAAATATTTGGCATTTCTACACAGCTGTAATTTTGATATAGAATTAGCCAAAAAGACCATTCAGAGTTGCTATCGGTTTCACTTTAGAATTCCACAAGTATTTTGTGAATTGGATCCATTAGCTGATGATATAGAACTGAGTTATAATTGCTTGTAAGTAATTCTACTATTTTTTCGATTAATCGACAAAAAAATTATTATTGTAAATTAACCATAGTGTAAAGATAAAAGAATATCAGTCGAGTCAAATCCGTATTTATTTTGTACTGTGATCTCTTTAATGACTGAAATTTTCCCTACCTACTAAAACTAAAAAAATGCAAGTTAGAATAGTGT